ACGCCGTTTCCCCACCTCGATAGACATTCTGAAAGAGTACTTCCCAGTGCGTTTGGAATTTTATAACAAACGCAAGGAATATCTAATGGGGCAGTTGACTGCTCAGGCGGATCGTTTGACCGATCAGGCCCGCTTCATAATGGAAAAATGTGATCGCACGATTGTTGTTGAGAATAAAAAGAGGAAAGTCATGATAGACGAGCTGATCAAGCGTGGTTATAAACCTGATCCGGTGAAAGAATGGCAACGCCGCATAAAAATGGAAGATGAGGAGGAACCGGATGAGGAAGAAGAAGAGGAAGCGCAGGACACGACATCTTCGACAGTAAAGAAAGAGAAAAAACCTGTCGATCCAGAAAAGGCATTCAATAAATTAACCGATGTCAAGAAATTTGATTATTTGCTCGGAATGTCCATGTGGATGCTTACGGAAGAGAAGAAAAATGAATTGTTGAAGCAGCGCGACATAAAGTTAGCAGAGCTCTCGGCTCTGAAAGCTAAAACTATTGAAGCATTGTGGCTGGACGATCTAGACGATTTGGAAAAGAAACTTGATGAACTCGAAGAACGTGAACGCCTAGAGGAATTGGGCATCAATAAAAAACAGGCAAAGGCCTTGTCTGCTAAAGCTAAAGCGTTGACTGGTACTTTGAAGAAGCGTGCTGCTAAGGGCGGTAATGATAACATTTTCCCAGATCCCCATGGAGTTAAGATTGAATTCAAGGTAGGCGTTTACATAAGTGGCATGCCTCATTATGCATAGCATAACTTTTATTTGGATATTTCAGGTTACCGAGGAAATAATGAAGAAGATTTCAACTGCGGTGGCGGCAGCCTCCAGACCGAAGGTTAAGAAAGAAAAGGTAGAAAAAGGTGCGAAAGGCGCCAAGGGCGATGAAATTGATGAGTTTGATGCAATGGTTGAAGGTGGTGCTAAGGGGCCGAAAGGTTCGCCTGAAGCTATGAAAAAGACAAAGGCTAAGGCAGCAGGAGCTGATGGGGACGGGGAAAAGAAAAAGAAAGTTCGCAAACCGAAAGCAGATGGATTGAAACAATCTAAACTAAACTTCGGCAAAGGGGTAGGATTTTGGGATATGACTTTATTGTGAACGGTTGTTAAAATTTTGTCTGGGTTTTTCCAACAGCGTAAAAAGAAGCGTGGATCTTCGGACGAAGAAGATTTGGCATCAGGAAGCGATGTCGAAATGAATGTTGCAGTTGCTCCACGCGCCGACCGACCGGGACGAAGGGCAACTGCCAAGAAAATCAATTATTCTGGCCTTCTAAACAGCGATGAGGAACAAAGTAGTGATGGCGAGCTAGTGTTCAGAGATAATGAAGGTGTCAAAGAACACTCACATCACGTGGCACATATGTCAGATGTCGAAAATGGAAGCGATGCGCAAATTATCAGTGACTCGGACTCCACACCAGCCAAGAAAAAACCAACAGCGAAACGTCCACGAAAGAAGGCGATGACAAGTGATAGCGACAGTGACAAAAAGGTGAGAACTCTTATTATTTAGATACATTTTCGTACTCTTAAGGACCGATTTCTCAGGTAGCTTTTAAAATTTATCCGTACTTTAAACACAAATTTCGTTCTGAAAGAAGGTATTTAAAGTTCAGATTAATTTTAAAGTCTACTTAAGAAAAAGTTTAAGGAAGAATTTTTTAGAAATTGAGTAAAAAAAACTTACAATCTGTTACATTAACTTTAATTATTTTGTTTTATTTTTTCAGAAAAAGAAGAAAAGGATTGTTGTTTCCGCCAGTGAGGATGACGATTCGGATTTTGAGTGATAAGCATATTCAACTTAATACTAAAAATAAGAGTTGTGCAAATGAGTCTGTTAGAAAGAAAATAGACGAGAGCCAAGAAAAGGTGGAACAAAGAAAATGAAAAGAAAAGAAAAGTTTGAGTTATCACACCATAATTTAAATGTTTTCTAAACATTCACGTTGTATCAATCGTCACTATTCATATTCCCACCGCCTACCCTTAATAGCACGTGCATTCAAGCAAAAATATCGGATTCAAAAAGGATCATTGGAACACCGTTCAGCATTTCCCTGAACCCATATTGTGTATCACAATTTAGAATATTGCTGGTTTATTTTCGTTTTAAAACAATAAGCATATTCTTTTTATTAAAAACATCTATCGCAACCTGCAAAAAGAATAGCATATTTCTGTTACCTAAATTGGTTTTTATATGTTCGTATTTCAATGTCAATATTTCAATTTACAATTAAACTAATAATTGCGGTCGTCGCCTTTAAAGACCGGATGAAATTAAATCGTTTGTCTTTGCCTCTAGAGCACTTGTTTAAGTTTTTTTAAGTATTTTCAAGATTTAGATTTTAAATGTAAATATAAATGATTTAACTTAAAATGTCCCTTTTCGGCTTATTTGCGTGAATGTTCCATGAAACATGCAAGCTACAAGCATGTGAAAAGAATGCATATTTTATTAGTATTTTTATGAGAACTATCGAAACAAATTGAAGAGTTTGTATCGGAAAAATACGTTTTTTATAAATTCATGTTTTCGCGTAAATTTTACTTTTTTGTGTATTTCAACAATTAGTGAAACTCACAAAAGTTTGGGTAACAATTTCCATTCGAAACCAAATTTAACTTACATTCTCGAAATATCCATAAGATATATGTATTAATGTAACTGAAAAATCCACAGACGGATTTGAAGATGGAACATTGCACATATTATTAAGTATTACCAATTAAGGTTATACTTAAACACTATCACTCAATATACTACAAATAAAATACATTTTATTAAAGCCAAACAGAAATGAGCTGATTTACTGAGTTTTTTTGTTATATAAATTCAAGTTTTTTTTTAATTTTTAATTATCCTTTCTAGTCATCATTGTACATACATACATACATACATGCATGTATTTACACTGGACAATTTTTTTTGTTTTAATTTTTTCCTCTGAAATTTTAGGTATTTTTATGTGTTCATGTTTTTGCCTCTTAAGTGCAATGCGATGTCAAAGTTAGGGTGCGTTCGAAATGCATCAAGCCAAAGCATCAGTCCCTTTTATTACAACAACGCTTTTATCAACTTGCAATGTTGTATGTCCAGACACCTTTACTTAATTATAGATTATAATTACGGTGACAATATTTATGGGAGCATTATTTATTATATTTCAAATTTGTTCCACAACAGCTTACAGATCTTAAAGCATTCTTCAATGATCCTAGATCACTGATGGGCACTGCCTTGCCAAAGCTCTCTTAAGCTTTCTATACATTTTGTATAGGCACGAGCAGAGTAAAGGCTCTCTGCCCATCGCTGTCCTAGATGTATTGGCCCTGAAACAGTATCCTTATTGTAACATAACGAATTTGTAGGATAATTTTCTCGAGATTTTTACCCCGTTAAAAATCCATTAAATTTTAGTATAATAAAGTGCAATCTTAAGTCGCCAAGGCTTACCAATAATTTTTGGCTTTTTTTTTGACGGTGTTACGAATTTTTTCTCATACAAAGTATGAGCGACCATTTTTTTAAAAGAGGAGCAAATGGGCTGCACTTTCTACTCGCACTTTATAATACTCAATTTTAATGAGTTATAAAATTGCAAACCAAACCGTCCTAAATATTCTGATTAAAAAGATTGAAAGTTTGGTGTAACCGTGCAGAAATAATTTTGACAGTTTTTTGCACAAAGTTGGAAATTTGTATTATATGGTTTTTGTTAGGAAAAAAGCTTTACTTTCATAAAATAAATACTAAACATTAAATAAACTAAGGAAAAATAGCCAAAACTTACTAAAATGTCGAGTCCCAATTTCTATTTTGGTCACTGTATGTATTCCTCGATTCGAATCACAGGCGTTCACAGATTAGAAAATAATGACTGTTTATGGAGAAAATTAGGATCATATACCAACATCATTTAAAACTCCTTCATAGGCATGGCATTTTAATGAGCTGTTAAGGCGTCGAAACACCGAATACGGGCCAAATACAGAACATTTGACGTACGGTATAAAATAAATTGCCAGGACAATGGGTCAAAGACTGTCCCGTGTGATACAGGACGGATGGTCACCGTAATTATAAACAAAGTTCCAATAAAAAGGTCTACGGTATCAACATCGTATATGGTATATGTCGCCTAAGCGGAAGTGCTTAAATATTGCGCCTAAAATATGCACTACAACGCTACAGCGCAAATGGACGACACGCGATTTCTTTAAATGAAACTAATTGGTGCTTGTATGTATGTATGTATAATAAGTATAATTTGTTAATAATTGATCACGATTTTAACTTTAAACGAAAAGTTTTAACTCCAAAGAAAACTCGATAGTAACGATATTCTTTCGTACGGTCTATAGATTTACGTTCATTGTAATGATCTTATACGTTAAAGCATACCTACATAGGTGTAAATCTGTTTTAGTTGTTTTTTTACTTAACGGAGTATCACCCTGTACCACAAATTGTCAGCACAAGGCGAATTTATACAAATTGTGTTGCCGTGTTGCGACTAAAGGCCAATTTGATCCTTTTAAGCGCCAATACCCTTTGACTCGACTTTTTAATAATTTAGATTTTTTTACCCTTTTCCAAAATTATGTGCGATTTTTGCCCCTTTCAGTGATTTTTCAATGAAATTTTATTAGAACCATTCTTTTATAAAATATTTCCTCCTGTAATTACGAAAAAATTCATCTTTTATAACTTCAATGCAACTCTTTTGTGTGTATGTTTGCAACCGTGTTTTAGGAAAATCTTGTCCCGCTATTTTATTTTTAAATTCAGCAGCGGAATGTTTTAGCAGCGTAAATACTTAATGTAAATTAGATTTTGACTTTGGTTCTCAGATTTATTCTTTTACTAGTAAAGAAGACCAAAATAATAATGTGACACTGTTTTCGTCAATTACACCTTTTTTGTGACTTTCTGAAAATTCTCAACGGCAACACTACTTGGACAGCTGCAAGACGGCGGCGAAAACCGGCTTGTTTTGTAGGTTATTCCGAAGCGAACTAATGAACATTTGAAATTCGCTACAGCATTCTGCGAAATAGTTTAGTAATTTTGAATAATGGCAAATTTTAATTTCCAAACAATTGCGCAGGAGTTGAATGAGGTCCAGGAAGAGGGGCTTTCATTTGAGGATAAACAGTTAACGTGGGATACGGCAGATGATGGTAAGAGCTCAAGTAAACTTTTATATTGAATATGCTCATGAACCCCGTCTTTTGCCGTGCTGTACTTTTTACCTAGTTGCTGATATTGTTAAGGCTTTGGAAACAACAAAGATTGTACACTACCTTAAATTAGGTGGTAATACATTAGGTATAGACGCAGCAGCTGCCATCGGTAGTGGGCTTGAAAAGCATCCCGAGTTTCGTAAAGCGCTATGGTATAATATGTTTTCACGACGCCTAAAGACGGAGACACCAATTTCCTTGAAGCACTTGGGAAAGGGTTTAATGGTTGCTGGAGCAAAACTAACAGTTTTGGATTTGAGTGATAATGCCCTTGGCCCCAATGGCATGGCTGGACTTGAGGACTTGTTGCGTTCACCGGTTGTCTACTCACTAAAAGTGTTGCGTCTAAACAATTGCGGATTGGGTATTGGCGGCGGACAAATGCTTTCAAAAGCCATATTGGATTGCCATAAGAGCAGTGTTGCTGCCGGCACACCACTTCAATTGAAAATTTTTATTGCTGGTCGCAATCGGTTAGAAAACGATGGCGCTAAAGCTATTGCGAAAATATTCTCAGCTCTGAAAACACTAGAAGAAATAGCAATGCCTCAAAACTCGATATATCATGTCGGAATTGCTGCATTGGCTGCCGGCTTCAAAGAGAATCCCAATTTGCGTATACTGAACTTGAATGACAATACTGTGACTGAGAAAGGGGCTGCATCTTTAGCAGAAGCCTTTGCCTATACACCTATGTAAATGAATGAAGTTAATAATAACGAGCAAATTAATGCTTTGGTTTTGTAACAGGTTGCAAGAAATCAATTTTGGCGATTGCTTGTTAAAAACGCATGGCGCTTATCACTTCGCTGAATCGTTGACTGAAAATCATCTTCTGCTAGAGGTCGTAGATTTGGGCTTCAATGAAATTGGCGCTGATGGAGGAGTTGTGTTAGCCGAAGCGTTACAGAACAAGCCTAATCTTAAAAGAATCAATTTGGACGGAAACCAGGCAAGCTTTTTCATTTTTTTAATTATAAATTTTTTTTTGAAAAACAACATGATAAAAATTCTTCCAAGTCTCGACTGTCCTGGAAACGACAGTTAAAACGTTTTAACGACGGCCGCCACATGCACATACGTATGTACCATTGTACAAATGTATGTACATAGGTATATACATATATCCAAGAACGTCAACATCCTACATCGTTTTCCAGTTACGTTAATACATATATTTGTAGTTACCATTCTAATGTTAGAGATTGCATTTTAGTGTGGTCGTGCGAAGGAATTATTTATTGTATAGGTAAAATTTACTGTTACGAAATTGGGGCTTACTGTAGCACTGATAAAAATTGTAACACGAACAAGCCAGAGCATTATTCAAAATTTGTTAACAACGACACACTACCTAGTGAATATTGTATAAGATGCTGCGGCTGGAAGGTATTTTTGTGGTCCCTCCTAAAACGAATGGCCTCATTCATAAAAATAAAATAGTAGAAACTATTTCTGTGTTCCATCCCAAAACTATAATTCAGAAAAAATTAAATTGGTTTAAATAGCTTTATGCTGCATTTACATTTTGATTCCATCCCAAAACTCTCATTCATAAAAAATAAAATATATTTTAAAAGCTTCATGAATTGAGATTTTCAACCAACTTTTCGATTTATGAAGCATTTTTAATTTTTTAACTTATGTGCTAACTAATAGTTTTAGATGTTGTAAGAGGATTCGATATTTATTAAAAGATTTCGTATTATTTCGGTTTTGTCTTATTTTCGGTGCCACTTTTGGACTTAGCAAATTTTCTTTTCAATGAATATAAGCGAGAAAATATAAAACGAGTGCCTTAATCCTTTTCGAAGCGATGCATTTTTAACATATCTTGCTTCTTATATCAAATTATGCGTTTTCATAAAAAGTGGACTTGCAACTTTTCACTCCAAGCTAGCGAAATACTTTCGTTTGATACCCATATTCTAATATTTAGCTTATCTTATCAATTTAACTGAATTAAAATTTTCAAATACATAGTAGGTACCCGCTTCAAATATATTTTCTAGAGTAAACTTCCTTAAACCACTTTAGTTTGATGACGGTATTGTAATATTTCATTTATTTTATCAAATTAATTGAATGAAATTTTTGAAACAGGTGGCAAACTTCCTTAAATATATTTTCAGCAGTAAACTTCACAAAAATATTTTCAGCTGTAAAGCTCTTTAAACCTTTTTCTTTTGACAGCCAGTCGCACTATTTGTTTTGTCATCAATTTACTTAAACTGAAATTTTCAAACAGGTGGCAACTCACTATTTTATTATGTATTTTAAGTTAGGCCTCTAGCAATACATCGTTGAATACTGCAGTCAATGTCCTGCATTAGTTTTTGAGTGATGCGCGTACAAACATATAGACAAAAAAATTCAAAAACTTGTTGATTTGGCTACTCTTGCTCTAAAAAGACGCCCCCTACCCCCCTCCCCACCATATAAATAATGGGAGTTTTCTCTCTTTTACCTTTCCTCCTATCATGAATAAAAATTTCCTGAGGAATTTTTATATTAAATGGCGGAGTTGAGCTCTTAAAAAAGTGTCCAAACAGCTTTTTTCGAGGAAAATGCTACTCCCTGGGAGTTAATTATTGGTAGATTTCTTTCTCGGGAGAAACGAATTCCCCGGGAGTATTAAGAATTGGCCTAATAGATTATTTTTTCAGTCATGAATTTGAGCAAAAAAAAAAACCGAATACAAATTTCGAAACGCGTACTAAACCTTAATCCTTTTAGTATAGTTTTGTCAACAGTTTCTTACTGGATCCTATACTTCGTCTTTAGTTGAAATTGAACCAAGCCTTATTGTAAATACAACTTTTGGAAATACTCTTTCGGTTTCGCAGAAGGCTAGGCAAAAGGACATCATTTCACGGAAATTAAAATCGGCTCAGTAGCTTTCATACATTCCCCCATATACTACCTAAGTAAACTTATATAAAAGTATACGAATTTTTAGTTTGGATATGAGGGACGAGAACGTATAATAGAAATTATTGAGTCATCTGCTAATCCAAATGCATTGGAGAGTCTTGAAGAAGATCAATCTGAGTGTGAGGATAACGAAGAGGACGGCGCGGATGAGGATGACGACGATGATGAAGGTGATGAGGACGATGAAGATGTAAGTCCCAAGTATTTCCAGCAAAGTAATTTTAACGATGCTTAAACATATTTTAGGACACAACTGAAGAAGTGGATGAAGATGAGGATTATCAAGATGAAGACGCTGATGAAGAAGGCGACGAAGCCTTTATAACTTCTCCAGCGTTTACTACAAATGTGAGCTAAATTTCGATGTCCTTTCGCATAAATAGTTAAATTATTTACACTTTATTTTATTTAGCTTCTAAACGCCAATGAGTCCTTTACTTCTGCTAAAAACGTTCACTTTGACGATACAAATACACCAACAAAGCCACTAACAGTGGAATCATTTTGTTTGAGTCAAAAACCTTGCAGTATTCAAGCATTCGAATCGTTGCAGGAAGACGATAAACTATCTGCGTTTAAAGGCATAATTGAGGTATTCACTGATGCATTCTAAAAACTATTTACGAATACATTCGAAAACTTTAAAAATTGAACTTTGATAATATTTACACTTGCAGCAATTCTCAGACGACAATCGCCTGCTGTTGCAAATTTTTACTACATTAAAATGTGCACATCTCTCGCAATCATCACCAGTTGCTCTGGAATTGGCCAAAACGCTTTTTAAGGAAACAGTGGATTACGCGGTACAGACGAAACAAGAGCGTCGTGTCTTAAATTATTTACTAATGCAACTTGGTTTGCTGCGTAGTGAGGAGAAATTCAGTAGTGCATACGATTTAAAAAGTTGTCGTTACGCATTACGGGAGACTTTGAAGGCTAATCCACAATTGGGCAGCGAGCATATGCGAAATGTTTTAAATGTTTTTTTACAACAATTGGATGTTTAAAATTAGATGGAGCGCTCGGTTGTTTTAATTAAATTTTGCCGCGCATTTACATTTTACAGATAAGTACGCTACCTAAGCAAATTGGTATTCATCATACGTTATTTGCATAAAACCCTGCTGGCCAAATAAAAATTTTAAGAAAAAATATGCAACTTACATCTAAATGCAAACGACGTTTTAAAAGGTGTTCACATGAGGCAACTTTTAGTTGAAAGCAACTATCGTCTGGTGTGAACGGCCTTTCAACTAATCGCTTCCAGTGAAGTTGGGGGCAGCCAACTTTTGATTCAACTAATCGCCCGTAAAGTTGCCTGTAAAATCGCCTCATTTAAACACCGTATTAACGTTTTACCCCTCTATTCTGATGGTAGTGGCGTTTGTATTTTTGCACGATTGTAGAAATAATTTTAATCCAACAATCGCAATTATTTATGCGTAATGATAACATGTAATTGGATTTATATATTAAACTTTTATTAAATTAAAAATTAAAATATTTATTTTTAATAAACTTTATAAAAATATGTAATAAATCATGGAATAATTGTGCTACCGAAAGTTTTTAATTGAAGTTGAAGGGTTTTAAACAGGGAAATTGCCTTTTTTCTGCTAAAGATATAGAGTATATTCGATTAAGAATGTCCACGATTTAGCTTTCCCTGATTCCATATATACACATTTCACGTTTCCTTTTTTTTTTTTTGCTTTTTTTAAGATATTTGCCTTTTCTGCCTTTAATTGTAAAGCGCAAAAAAAATGCTTTATTCCTGCAAATATGAAAGTTTTAAACGTTCCATATTTAATTTGGGCGCCATTTGTATAAACTCACGTCGAGCGCACGTTTAGTACATTCAAGGCTTTTCTTCGCGAAAATCGAATAAAAATGCTGCCAGAAAGCTTCAAAATGCATCTTGTGATTCAATATTACTACAGCTATAGATATGAGTTTTGTGAGTTAAAAACTAAAGAGAAAATAGTCGCACAAATTTTTCATATTCAGCCCTATTCAGAATACTCCCGGGGGGTTTGTTTTCCTGGAATTTGTTTCTCCCGAGAAATAAATCCTCCAATAATTAACTCCCAGGGAGTGGCATTTTCCCCGAATTTTCGGGAGGAGGAAATTCGAACTTCGAAAGAGCTGTTTGACACTTTTTTGACAGCTCAACTCCGCCATTTAAAATAAAAAAATCCTTGGGGGGGGGGGGGGGGAATTTTTATTCATGATAGGAGGAAAAGAGAAAAACTCCCGGGGAGTTTTTGTTCAGAATCGGTCTGATTATGAAACTAGTTCCATGCTAAAAACATAGTAAGGTAGAACCGTTCTCTCAATTTGTCGGCCATGATTTTTTTTTTTTAAGTTTGCCAGCATTTTAAAATCATTCAACTGAAAATGAAAAAATGAAGTTGTTCAAAATTTTTGTTCATTGTTACATGGAGCGTGTGTGAATCGGCAACAAAGTTCGCGGCGAGTAAATTTTTGACAACTATGAGGTGAATAAAATTTCAGTAGCTCATGAGGCTAGTGTGTTTACTATTACTATTACTTTTAAATTTTCCTTATACATATATATATATAATAGTACCCTGAAATGCCAGCTTAATAGGGTCGAGCCAGCTGCAGCAAAATCGTACAAGTGTGTGGTTCCTCATTTAAAACTATGGTCGGCATTGTTGTAATTTTTGTCGGAACAGATTCGCACCGACAGAATCGCGTAGGTGTGTGGATGCCTTAATGCTGAAATGCAGGGTGTAATATGAAATCAATTTAATAATATTGTAGCATCCTGTGGTTTAGTGCATTGCTAGCTTCCCATCAGGTGGTGTGAAACTTGAAGAGAATCTATTTTTAGGTAGATAGAGACAGCTGAGAAAATGTAAGATTTCGATTATATGTGCTTTCTGGAACATTATCCCCAACGGTTTCCGTAGTGTAGTGGTTATCACGTGTGCTTCACACGCACAAGGTCGCCGGTTCGAACCCGGCCGGAAACATATGATCCAAGTTAATTTTTTTTCTTTTTCAAATAGATTTTTATTTATCGGAGTATATCGCACCTTTGCTGCAGGAGTGTTATAATCCAAAACATAAGACATCGACTTTAAAGTTTACGCTCCCATGATAAAACTATGTATTAACACACTTTCTTCGAATGAGCTATTGCTTGCTAATCGATACAAATATGAAATTTTTACACAACTTAGAAGAGGTGGCGGGAATTTCTGCATACTCAACTCAAAATAATTTTTTATGTAGATTGTGATACTATTGCAGCGAAGGCACGATATCTTATTACATTAAACGACCAATTCTTTTTAATATATATGTACATATATTAGACCACGTCAAAATAAAACAAAATCCCGCAATGCGACCGGCATAAGACTCGAATTTTTGTATTTGGTACAGTAATAATCATTGCATTAAAAAAATAGTCATTAAGTTCATTTCCACACGGCCAGTAGAATTTTCCTTTATTTCGTTTTCATTGTTTTTATACCTTTCATGAGTATGAAATGGTATTATAACTTTGGTCCGATGTTTGTAAGTACCAGAATAAGAAGAGATAGACCCATCAAAATGTATACTTAAATGATCAGGACGTCGAGCTGAGTCGATTTAGCAATGCCCGTCTGTCCGTCTGTATGTCTGTCTGTCTGTCTGTCTGTCTGTCCGTCCGTCTGTTTGTATGCAATCTAGTCTCTTAGTTTTCGAGATATCCGGATGAAATTTGGTAGGTGGGTGTATTTTTATAATGTATTAATCATTTGTCGGAACCGGAAGAATCGGACCACTATATGATATAGCTCCAATACAACTGATTGTTCAGATATGAGTTTTTTCGTTATAACTTCTACATTTATGCAGCTAGGAACATGATATTTTCCAATACTTCCACCCATTATCAATAGAAAATTTAGAGTGAAAATTACAAAGATCGGGTCACTATAACCTATAGCTCCCATACAACTGATTGTTCAGATATAAGATTTTTCGTTATAACTCCTCCATTTAAGTAGCTAGAAACATGAAATTTTGCACTGTTATCACTAATTATCAAAACAATACTTTCAGTGAAAATGGCGAAGATCGGGTCGCTATAATCTATAGCCTCTATACAACTGATTGTTCAGATATGAGATTTTTTGCCATAACTTCTCCATTTATGCAGCTAGGAACATGAAATTTTGCAATACTTTGCCCATTATCAACAAAATACTTACAAAGATCGGGTCACTTTTACATATAGCTCCCATACAACTGATTGTTCAGATATGCGATTTTTTGTTATAACTCCTCCATTTATGCAGCTGGGAACATGAAGCTTCGCAATATTCCCACCCATTATCATAAAAATAGTTACAGTGAAAATGGCGAAGATCGGGTCGCTATAACCTATAGTCTTCATACAAATGATTGTTTAGATATGATATTCTTTGTTATATTTTCTCCATATATGCAGCTAGAAACATGAAATTCCGCACAATTTTCACTCATTATCAACAAAACGTTTACAGTAAAATGAACAAAGATCGGGTCACTATAACATATTTATTGCCTCCATAAAACTGATTGTTCAGATATAGGGCTTTACTGTAAAACTCCTTTATTTGGACAGCTAAAGTCGATACATTTCGTAAGCTATTTTATAAATAATAATACAAAGTCTACTGAGAAATTCGGTTTACATACCGATCACACAGCAGTAAAAATCACTTAGATTGGTGCTATATAAGGTATATCTTCCATACCTCTGATTGTTTAAATATGATATTTTATATATGCATGTATCTCCTCTGTCTATGTGAAAGTGAAAGCTGTGAAAGAAAAATTTTCAGATGTTCATGAAAGGTATGAAGCCTTCGGCATAGCGCTGCTCTTACTTGTTTTTTTTTTTTTTAAGTTCTATATTTTTTTACGTTGCTGTTGACTTTTTAATAAAATTCAACTCTAAAATTGTTAAATAAAATAAAAAAATATAAAACAAACAATAAAAACAAAAAACTTTTCCGCAATCGCTCCAACCGAGGATCGAACCGGCAGGACTGTGTTATGCCGGTCGCATTGCGGGATTTTTTTTTCCGACGTGGTCTAGTACGGTTGACAAACGGGCTCGATTGTTTGCATAAACAGCCTTTATTTGCTTTCACTCATGCATTTTCCTCTTTAAAATGCGCATAAGCAGCCGAACAAATGCACGAAATTTTTGGGAATTAACTCGGATCCGGGGAATTTTCGATGACAACACTGGTAAAAACGGCCAGTTGTTGTCTTTTGTACAAGTAAGCAAACGAATCAGTCGAGTTCGCGTGCGCGCTAGCCGAGTGGTGAGAGTTGCGAGCTACAGGTCTGTAGCTGCTAGGTTCGATACTCGGTTGGAGCGATTCGAAACGTTTTTTGTTTTTATTATTTATTTTATATTTTTTTATTTTACTTTATCTATATATTTAATTTTACTTTATTTTATTTTCATTTGATTTATTTTATATCACATTTCTTATTTTACTATTAGTTAATTTTAATTTTTAGAAATGAATTTTGTTAATAATTCAACAACAACTAACTGAAAGTATCGTAAAAAAAATATAGAACTTATAAAAAAAAGAATGAAAAAGAAATAAAAAAAGTATGCTTATTAATTCAAATTAATTTTCTCCGTCTGTCTACCATATTACGGGCTACAAGCGATTGCGAAAATTTTTTTGTTTTATTATTTATTATTTATTTTATATATTTTTTATTTTATTTTATCTATATATTTAATTTTACTTTATTTTGTTTTCATTTGCTTTATTTTATATCACATTTTTTATATTACTATCAGTTATTTAAAATTTTTAGAGTTGAATTTTAATAGAAAGTCAACAACAACTAACTGAAAGCAACGTAAAAAAATATAGAACTTATGAAAAAACAAGAATGAAAACGAAATAAATGAAAATTCAATTGGCCGTGGGACTCGAACCCACCCTGCAAAAATCGTTGGACCATGTAGTCTATTTGTGGTATATTGGAGTACTTACAAAAGTGTTCCTCTGTCATGCTGTAGCGGACCAACTCGTGTCTCTGCGCCAGCTTATTGTTTGTTATCTGATCACTGCTCGTATTTTAACGAAATGTGATTGAAGTTGAGCATTTGAAAGCACATTTGCATGTCGCTGTTAGTTCTTCGCTCCCAGCATGTTCGGGTTCGAATGCCGTCAGAGGCAACATGTAATTTTTAATTTTTGTCTTGGTTTTTATTAATTTCGAAAAAGCATTTGAGAAGTGAAGAACAAAAGCGTGTACAAACGAAAAAATATAACAACAATGCCATTGTTAATATGTTGGAGTAGTTTTGTGCTACTCTGATGTAATGCAGGGATGGAGTATATGGTCCTGCCCTAGGACATCGCAATGTTAATTGGACCATATTTTTTATATGAATTGTGGTTAATTTTGGAGTACTCCTTCGTCCTTAGGAAGTACTCTTTACACGCATGCATGGAGTAGTCGCGATTTTTGCAGGGCACGAGCTTGCGGCTCGTTTATCCACATAACTGCCGTCTGTTAAGTCAAAATTATTATGTGCATATGTGTGCCAGATAGCTTTAATATATACATATATAAATACATACATATGTATATATACCCATAGGGTTCTCGGAAACGGCTCTAACGATTTTGATGAAATTTTGTGCACAGATAATGTTTTGGATTTTAAAGTTATCTGAATAGGCATTGGTTGGTGGCAATCACAGAATCCATCGCAGTCCGATTTTTCGTGAAATCTACGAAAATGCGGTCACTGAATCCGAATTGCTGAAACAAAAAAAACTTAAAAAAGGGAAACAATTGGATGATGTGCGGATTTTTGTTCGTTTACCGATTCCATTGTGGGATACTTTGCGATCCGTTTTTTCCCCTAAGGAGTGCGGCAGAAATACATATATGTGCAAACTAGAACCGAAAATTGTTTTGAAACGGATACGTTTTTGGCTGTTTTTCTGAAATTTTTCTTACTGAATTTTTCGTTCAATACGCTTTACTTCTGCACTTCACAGATGCTTTTTCATGGTTAAAAAAAAATTAAGTAAGTGCCTGACGGCATTCGACACTGCCGTTGTGGGATACTTTGCGATCCGTTTTTTCCCCTAAGGAGTGCGGCAGAAATACATATATGTGCAAACTAGAACCGAAAATTGTTCTGAAACGGATACGTTTTTGGCTGTTTTTCTGAAATTTTTCGTTCAATACGCTTTACTTCTGCACTTCACAGATGCTTTTTCATGGTTAAAAAAAAATTAAGTAAGTGCCTGACGGTATTCCACACTGCCGCTTTTATTACGTACCTCGAACAGGTCCATAATGCTTTCAAATAACATCAAGGCAGGTTCTGCAATTCACTTCGGAGTGAATTTCAATCAAGTCCGCTTTGAATTCAAATTGACAGGGGTTGAAATTCACTCGGTAAGTGAATTACAGAATCTGCCTGATTATCTTTTTCGAATGTTTTGAACGTTTTCCGGATACGAAAATTAATGAAAATTGTAGTTCGTTTACGGGCACAGAGAATTTTACGAAACCGTACTGTCGGCAAAATATACGTTTCTCTGCTGGCTGGTAAGTGATTTTATTGTCATCGCTGTTGAAGACGATGTGGCAATATCCTGGGCTGGGTATTGTGCAATGAACATTATTGCCAAGTAAAGATAGAATCACAATTTATTTAACACGGCTGTTTTTAGTGGCAAAAATAAAATAAAATTCAGTTAATTTAATATTCTTCAAAGAGCTAATGAGCAAATATTTAATTTAAAACACTTTTCCTTAAAACACGAGCAGGGATCGGGTAACAATAAGCTGGTGCAAAGACACGAGTTGGTCCGCTGCAGCATGCAGTGGATCACTTTTTAAGTACTCCAATATGCCAGAAATTGACTAAAATGGTCTGTCTGTTGCTCAAATAAGTAAACAAATCTGTCGGGTTTGCATACGCTGTAGTGTGTACTAAAATTCCGTAGCACCCGGGTTCGTTCCCCGGTTCCAGCGATAATTTTTTTTAAATTTATATTTTATATTTGATTTTATTTATGTTACTTTATTTCATTTTAGAAGTTTAATTTTATTAAAAAGTCAACAAAAACTAAATAAAAACAACATTAATAAAATACATAAGTTATAATGAATGAACAAAAAAATAAAAATAAATGAAAACTACTGGCAGTGGGACTCGACCCACGATGTGACGACGCGTTGGTCAGCAGCATTGCCGTATGTCAGGGTACAATTTTAATCGGATCAACTGCTCCGTTCATCTTTAAGGTACATTGCGTGTTTTATTAAATTGAAATTAAACACATTAATTTTAATTTTACATCTTATGCACATGTTTATTATAAGCATGTATGTTTTTACTGGTAACTTACAGCTAGTGATAATTATAATACTTATATTAAGTGTTTGTTTACTGCGTTCTGTTGTTTGGTACATTTTATGTGGCAATAAATTTTATTGATTAATTATACTTTTTATAGAATATACTACTTATCAGCATGTTTATTAACTACATATTACAATTCATAACAAATAATCAATTAAAATAAGTCGTATGGTTTTTTTTTAATTTTGATTAACAAAAGCTGTTGATTATTTTATTTATTAAGCTGTAGACCTTTTACTGTAAGGGCAAAGGCAAAAAGAATCGTAATACTTAAAAAAAAAATAGCACAAATATAGATATGTACATACATAAGTGGTCGAAATAATTATAGCCGCACCATATTTTGTCAAGTTTTAACATATTATTTTTATTGTTATTTAATTTCGAAATTTAATTAAAAAAGTTAGAAATTTTTACGAGTTTTTTGAATTTTTTTTTAATATTGCACAAAGTTTGAAACTTGGATTTATACGGGTTTTGTTAAAGAATGAATTATATTTTTATAAAAAAATAACCAAAACTAAATAACAACAAAAATAATATATTAATTAAAACTTGTCAAAATGTGGCGAGGCTATAATTTTTTTGACCAATGTATGCACATTAGGGTGGTCCAAAATAAGTAAAGTGGGAATTTTAATGCTCCCACCCTTGGGATTTTTCTATATCAAAAAAATATACCCGTTTTTTATTTTGAAATAAAAAAATATTTAGAGGTCGCTCAAAGCGTTCAAAGTTTTCCATGTATTTTTTATGAAGAAAAAAAAGCAATTCTTCGTAGAAATGGTGTAAAATTCCTGAAAATCAACCAAAAAAAAATGCAATGGGGGACCCATGAAAAATCGTTAGTACTAGAACATGGCAAAATAAACAATTGGGTATTATTTCCTGAAAAGAAACAAAGTTTTCTGATCCAAAAATATTGATTTTCAATAATTCTATACCATTTCTACGAAACAGTGTGGTTGTTCACGCTTGCCTGGTTATCATGTTATCTGGTTATGTGGTTATATTTTTTATTCAGGTTACAATTTTTAACCAGATAACCTGGCAAGTGTGAACAACGACATTGGTTTTTCCCCATATTAAATACATGGAATACTATGAGCGCTTTGAGCGACCTCTTAAATATTTTTTGATCTCGAAATAAAAAAACGGGTATATTTTTTCGCTATAGAATAATTCTAGGAGGTGAGAGCATTAAAAAAGGACTATATGCATTTTTGGACCACCCTAATCTACATACATGCATATAATTTATATGAGAAGTATGTATGTATCTTGCAGAGTTTTTTCAATCGTTTTAAAAAGTCGTCGTCTAATATACACTGGCAATTAAAACCGAGAGCATTTACGAAATTTATTATTTACAGTAGCATAACTTTCTTAATAATAAGCGGATTGCTTTGAAATTTTCAGCAATTGGCCCTTGATATCCAAGGAATAAAGCCTAGTATACAGAAAAGCTAAGCTTAAATAAGATATAAGCGATTCACAACAAAAACATAAGGCAACTCTATTCACCCATATTTGAACTTTTCTGTTTTGTGATTTTTGAAGGTTGATACCCACAGGATTGTGCAACTCCTCTGTTTGTAATCATAATTTTCATAAGTCCGAGAATGCTCTCTACTGAGTTTTCTAGGATTTCGATTGAAATATTATCCCATTATAATTTTACTCGCATCCAACGTACTTCCATGTTACTCGCACAAAGTCCAGATCTCAACGCCATCGAAAAATTTTGCGCTGTGGTCAAGAGCCTTCTCGGACTTATGATAATTGCGATTACAAACAGGGGAGTCTCCACAATCCTGTTGGTATCAACCTTAAAAAGTCCCGAAACAGAAAAGTTCAAAACTGAGTGAATACAGTTGCCTTAGGCTTTTGCTGCGAATCGATTTTTTCTTGTTTACGCTTAGCTTTTCTATATACTAGGCTTTATTCTTTGGATAATAAGAACCAATTGCTGAAAATTTCAACGCAATCCGCTTATTATTAAAAAGCTATGTTACTGTAAGTAATAAAATGTAAATGCACTCGGGTTTGATTGCCAGTGTATGTACATAGATAGATTATGCTTGCAAATTCTTTAGATTTTTGTGTTTCTTAACTACAATATATTAGACACGTCACATCTTTTAATAACATCAGCTATCAGTATATACTATAGAATTAACATGTACGTCATGCGGTTTAAGGAAAATTTTACTGATATTTTTATCGATTTATTAGTTTTTCATTTCGAGTTGCATGTTTTGACATATGCATGTTTTGACATATTCATTTAAATTATTATAAATGGAAGCCTTTAATGCCAACTCTAATAAAAAATATTTTTTTCGAGATTTGCGTAATCGCACACTCAAGTGAACTTTTTAACGGTCTTAAAACTAAAGGTTTCACTATCAGAAATAAGTTTTTATAAAATCAGGCCTTTGGTTTAAAAAAAGTTTGAACTGAAATATCAAATGACATTGTAGACGTATGTATATGTTTAAAAGCGCGAGGTTAATTTGAGTTCATTGACATGTTTTGTGCAGTTTTTCTACAAAAAAAAAAAAATAATAAACAGGAGTAGGGTTTTTATAAAATGCAAATACCCAATTTAGTACAGTGTTTATGAAAAAAATTTATGAGCATATTTGATGGGGGCGAAAAAGTTCGAAAAAGGTGTAAGCTTAATTTTACAGATACAGATAGTAAACGTTTTGAAGACAGTTTCATAATTTTGAAGTACAACAATACAAATCCAGTTGTTATTGCCCACAATTGTCACGGAGATATGCATGGACCGACGTTAAACAACAACAGCGCCAGCCTCCGAGCGCCCTACGGGTAAATCGGGACAATTCTTCCAAGTATCAGTCAACGGATCGTACGCTTCCACGGCGTTGATTGTAATATGAGCGCGATAAAAATTATCTTCGCATGGCTGCATTGGGGAAAATTAAACAAATGTTGGAAAACTTGTGTTCATTTCGAATAAAAAAAACAATGATTAACTCACTTGATCCCCACCAGCCACATAGAGGAGGCCATCTGCGGCTGCTACAGCGGGAATAGCTCGTGGCACCGACATCGAGCAGACACTTTCCCATTTGTTTTCATCGAAGCTATAACGCTCAACGGTACTCAACACATCTTGGGAGCTACTGTTACCACCCACAACGTAAAGATAACGATTGAGAATAGCGACGCCCATTTGACAGCGTGCCGTGCGCATTCGCGCCATCGGTTGCCAATCTTGAGTTATTGGATTAAAACTGTTAAAGAGAAGTATATTATGATTGAGCCAGTGAAATTTGAATGTACCTTCCACATCTTAATGTCGGAATGCAAGATTACCTTACTTACCTTATTAAATCTGGCAAATGGCGACTGGAAGTTGTGCACCCACCTACAATGTAAATAAGCCCTTCGAAACTGACTACGCCCATGCTAAAACGCGGTTCTGGTAAATCGCCCAACTTGTTCCAGGCATCCTTTTCTGGATCGTAACATTCAATGGAACCGCCTATATCATCGCCTAACCAGCCGCCCACCGCCAGCAGTGTTCCACCGATTGTGCACAAGCCAAATTCACAACGAGGCACAATCATTGGTGCAATGGGTGTCCAGGCATCGGTTTGCGGATCATATACCTCACCATTAGCAAGGATTTGTGAGCCCCGCTCACCGCCAATTACGTATATTTTGCCATTTAACGCCGCCACGCCAGGTAAAATGCGACCGATTTCCATGGGTGCCGTTTCTGACCACTCACGTCTAAAGATATCGAATTTCGCAACTGTTTCGAAAATGCAATCGGATGGTGTCCAATCACGCTGAGACTCACGTCTGGAGCCACCAATAATATAAATATTCTTTTTGGCTTGTTGGCGTGGACAAACGCGCAGTGGCACCAATTGACCTCGCTTCGATGCGATGTCGCGACAAATGGAACGCAAGGCAATTTTAACTGACATATCCCGACAGTCTTTCAAAGCCTGATCGATTACTTTGACGGGAACGAGAGCTAGCCGGACATGCGACAATGTATCGAAGACATAACAGCGACGTTGGGTAACATCATGCTTTATCCATCGCAAAGCTGCTTGGAAAACTTGGGACTCCGAATCGACACGCAGCTGCTCAGAAGTGAGCAACTGAGCCAGCAGGGTTTGTGGTGTGTCTAAGAATTCGTCTTCAAGGGTTATCTGTGAAGAAAGGGATAACGATGTAGTGCTTTTCAAATCAAAATTATGAAATGTAGATCTACAAATTTTGGAAAATTTATTAATAGAATGAACAAATCTCTGTATTAAAATTATGCACTCCAAATCGAAATTTAAATTTATTCGTATCAGCTTTCTGTGGTGCGAATTTCCAACAATAGCTTCGACCACCTCCAACTCCTAAAGGGAAATTATTAAAAAAAAAATCTTATAAAAATGAAAAAACACCCAATATGTCCATCCTTAAAAAAATCAAAGTTGAAATGCATTAAATGTCCGCCGGCACTCACCGGTTTCCGTAGTGTAGTGGTTATCACGTGTGCTTCACACGCACAAGGTCGCCGGTTCGAACCCGGCCGGAAACAATTGGATTACGCAAAATAGCGGAAAGAAATTTTTTTCTTCTGTTTGCAGCCTTTTAAATTTAATTTTAACCTAATAATATTATAATTAGTTGCCATTGTTAATTATAATGATTATTTGCATTTTCTCATAATCCGAAAAAGGTGTTTTTACATGATCAGCAAATACTATATCGTATGTGACGATTCGAGCCCAGTATTTGTCTTTAACAAAAGTAACCGGAAATAATTAAGAAAGTAATTACTCGTACCATAATTTGTGTTGCAATTTAAATGATTTTTGAATCCATCCAATTATTTTTAACCGCCTTCAAAAAAAGGAGGAGGCTATCAATTCGTTGGTATATTATTTTTTATGTTACGCGCATAACTTTGGACCACGTAAACCGATTTCTATAATTATTTTTTTAAAATAAAGGTGATACCTCACAGTTGTTCCCATACTAATTTGGTTAAGATCCGATTTGTGAATCATGAAGAGATTAACGGTACTCTTAAATTTTTATACGGGATTCAAGCGGGTTTTGTTTTTCTCTTAAAAATTAATTGTTTTTAGAAAAGTTCGTATTGTTGAAAGAAGTGTTTTGTTATGAATAAAATTTTATTTTTTGTTTGAATAATAATTCAATCAAAAACGCCCATCCCTGCTTAGAAGTACACATTAACATATACAAACAAAAACTTACCGCCGGAAAATTAGAGTGGACATAGTTCAAAGCGCTCTTCTTTAATGTTTCACAATTATGAGCTTCTGCGAAGCGTAAAATGCCCAATGCGTTAGTGGAGTGCAGTTCACGGCAAAGAAAATCGCAACAGCCATCCACAACTTCCGGTAGCTGTAGCATGTCTGCTGCAGCTAGCAGCTCCTGTACATTTGACTACAAAGTAAAATAAGAGTTTCTTAATTAATTTATATAGAGTTATACAAACAAAAATAAATTTAAAAATACATAGATATGTATTTATGAAAGAAAAAAATTTAGTGTTAATTTTAACACTTTATCGAGAAAAATATTTTGGTGTTAACCCGCTAGAAACCAGCTAAATCGCGCTTCTTGCTATAACATTCTTATTTGATGTAAAATTTTTTCACTAATTTTGGGAATACTAAAAATATTGCTAAACAATTTTAAGATGTTAAAATACAGTAAAACCCATCACTTAGCAATGGCTAACTTTTGCGCTTTGATGAATAATTATGTTAAGTAACTTTCTGATTCGCTCCCGACTTTTTGATTAATCAGGATTATTACTAGTTAAAATTTATTCCACGATTAATCGGACATCTCTAAAATAAACATAAGTTGCAAACAATATCATTTTGAAATCCAGATTAAAAAATTGAAATTTTCATTAAAATTGGTTGAATTTTGTATAAAATTTGAAGTTACATACATATATGCACACTGTTCCTGAATTAGTTAAAAGTTCACTAAAACGTACGACGAAAATTGAAAATACAACTTTGTTCGTTATCACCTACGTAACCGAAATCCATTTTCACTAAAATCGTATCAGCTTATTTTTGCGTAATATTGACATTCAAGAATTGCAAAAATATAAAAATTTCAGAACAAACTTTTGCTCTCGTATTTTTTTTAATCCATGGGATATAATTAAGATAACAGTTATAAGTAACTATCTGAACAGCCCTTGGCTCGTTACCACATAATTCGAATTTGTTAAACCTGCAATAAAATGAATAAAACAAGTAAAGCTTTCGTCTAATGAAAACTTAACTTATTATATTTTATTCATTTTGGTGCAGTTTTAACAAAATTTCTCAGTAAAAAATCTTTTGTTACACTATTTTACTTTATTCTTATGATTGTACATACATGTTAAATAAAAGCTTCTTAAAAAAAATATTTTTTTTACATTATTTTATTTAACATTTTTTATTACTTTTGAAAGTTGAGCGCATCTTGTGTTTAAAGAACTTTTTATTAAACAAGTAATTTTTAAGCAAAAAACACATCCGACTTTAATTCTCATATACAAATTTAAGAGTACCGTTAATTTTTCCATGATCCAATGATCGGATATAAACCAAATTACGGGACGACCCGCGAGGTGCCATTTTTCCGATCAAACAAAGAATTATAAAAATCAGTTCACGTGGTCCAAAGTTATGCGATAGCATACATAAAATAAAAAGAATCCTACGAATTGATGACCTCCCGCTTTTTTGAAGTCGGTTAAAAATGTTTGAGTTCTTTGTTTTATATAAAAAAGTGCAATTTATGAAACTTTAAAATTGTATTTATTTATTACATACTGTACATAAAACTTGCATAAATGTATTTAGAGCATATTATCTGAAGCGAATTTTCAGTATTTTCTGGTGATATATCTATAGAAGTATAAACCCCTCCCAAAATATATTCCTGGGTGCGCCCCTGAGATCAAAGCATTTTTCAGTCAATTGAACAAATTCGACTTTCTTTTTTCCCAACAGAATTTTTCTTCCACATGGTGCAGATACTTTTTTTATGTTTTCTTCATGACTTAGGTAATACGACATGGTGTATTGTATATTTGTAAATAAAACTCAACTTGCCTACACACAATTTCAGTCCCGGATTGTATTACACAATTACTTATTTAATCAGAACGTATTGAAACGCTAACAATATTTATTAAAAATAAATTAAAACAAGAAATACATTATTAACGATTTCTCTGCAAAAGAATTATGTGTTAAAGAGCCAAGGGCTGTTCAGATAGTTACTTATAACTGTTATCTTAATTATACCCAACGAATTAAAAAAAAATATGAGAACATAAATTTGTTGTGAAATTTTTATAATATTGCAATTCTTGAACGTCAATATTTCGCAAAAAAAGGCTGATACGATTTTGGTGAAATTGGATTTTGGTTACGTAGGTGATAACGAACCAAGTTGCATTTTCAATTTTTGTTGTTGTTGTTGTAGCAGCATACAAATTCCCCAAAGACTTTTTGGGGAGTGTTGCTGGAGTGACAGTCCTTGGCCAGATATAAATCTGGGTCGTTCCGGTTACGTAGACCCGACTGTCGTGGGAACGTCGTCGTACGTTTTAGTGAACTTTTAACTAATTCAGGAACAGTGTGTATGGTTTTGGTTAAAGCATGGACGGTATATTTATAGAAAAATAACAAAACAAAATTTACCTCGAAAAACATTAGAAATAGATATTTAAAAAATCAACACATGGTCACTTGTTTGAGTCACTGCAAGTATATATATACATAAAATCTCTCCTCCATAAAAGATTTTTAAGGAAAAAAGTTTAAATCCGTTGAGCTTTGAATTAAAAAAAAATGGCGCTTATAAAGTTTAAATTAATAATGCAAATTTACTTGTACATACATACGTATATGCATATACGGAAGAGTTTATTACAAACCTGTGTAATTTCACAGCGCCCTGTGTATATAAAATCCAGCAGAATGCTCAAAATTTCACCATCTATAGTGTGCAATACTACAGATTTCTGATTTACTTCATTTAAACCAAGCTCTGGCCGGAACATTGCCTCAAAGTAGGCGCTGGCTGCACTTAAGACTGCACGATGAGCATTGAATGTAATGCCACCAGCAACTATTTCCACATCGCAAAAACGAGATTCTGCCCGCAGTTGATTTAAATTAGCCAACACTTTGAATGGAAATTGTGCGTTGCTATAACAAGGTAGAGTATTGCGTTGTGCACCCGCATTGCTCATAGCGCCGCATGCGTCAGTTATGGTTGATGCTGCCGCTGAGGCAGCTGTTGATGTGTTACTTTCACCATCCCCAGCGTTAGTGGTACTATTACCATTATGACAGTTTGCATTGAATTCGTTGTGCGGTGAGTAGGTCTTCAATGGTGGCATTGCAATGCTATTTGTAGACTTACGCCGTTTATTTGTGGTGATTATGCGCTTTATCCTAGACAAATTAAATTTTATTAACTTATTAAAATTGATGTTATCTAAATTTGGAAAATATTTATCCAGAAATGTATTTTTACTTATCCATATCTAGAATCAAAGTAGTCGATGAAAGAAATTATGCTTGCCTTTCTTTAGCTTGCATCACTACAATACTTTATACATAAATAATATGGATAAGTAATACATATAATAAGTGCAACGCTTCATTCAACGCCCCAATATACTCCTTACCTCCGCCACCATAGCACTACAATTACATTTAATTAAGTTTAATTGATGCAGTTGCCCGAAAGCACTATGAAATACCACAAAATTTGGCATTGTGAATTATAATTTTTTAGTGGCCTCAGCAGTATGAAAAAGATTGTAGGAATTGGGTGGTGGGCGGTTGGTAGTGTATATAGACAAAAAAGCGATAATAATGCGTAGAGAATGTCCGTCCGCGTTTACGGAACAAATAATGAGCAATTCTTCGCGCTTTACTTGTAACTTTAACTTACTCCACTTGTGCTTACGTTGGTTTGTAAACGTTCTTAATTTCAATCTTTTTCAACAAATACAACTCTTAAAAAAAATTGTTTTATTCACTGTTAAACGCCCATTGCATTTTTATCGTGATTTCACTTTTGACAACTGCATAGGGATACCAATTTTGCGATTTTTGGAATTACTTGCACTTGCTATGAGAACTGCTAAATATGTATCGACGCATGTTTGTATATGCGTGTAAATGTGACCCTTCGAAAGCGTAAATTTTTTAATATTACATAAATTTTTATAAATGTAGCCTTTGTCGTTTTACGAAAATCTTAAAATTTTTCATTTTCTTCGGAGTGCAACTCAGTGTTAACAGTGTTGCCAGCTTATCTATTTTTCTTTAGATTTAAGTTATTCTGGTCCATTAGCGGAAAAAAGTAGGGATTAAATATAAAAACCTATTTTTTTTTTCTTCTGAGAAGAAACAATAAATAGTCTAAAGTGTTAGTATTTAAAGTATGTTTACATATAAATACAATCTTAATTAAAGCTCGTTTTTTAATCAGCTTGTCAACACAGGCAAATCTCAGATTATTACCTGTCAAATTTGTTGTGCTTGTTATTCTCACATCTCAAGGAAAACATATTATGTTTTTGTTGTTGGCCTTTAAACTTTAAATTATGAATCATTTTTAACAAGCTCGAGGCCCAGCAATTGAATAAAACGCAAATTTTCGTTCTATTGATATTTTAACTGTCGATATTTCGACCTCCAATCTGAGGTCATCTTCAGGACTAAATATACAGACACGATAGGGCTGTTCAGGATGTGGAAATGGACTGGGGTTTGCAGTTGGAATTGCATTTGCAAAGTTCATGCTGGCTGTCATGGCAACCGTGTGTATTTTATTGTCGTGTCAGCTGACTCGGGTTTACGTACCGGTAGGTTTACGTTCTTGACTAATTTCAGCTTAATTGTGTGTATTCATAGTAAGCTGTTAATCAACGCCAACGCCAACGCGACTAACCGCAGCTTATATGCGTGTAAACTTGCCGGGAGTTTAATTCGTTCTACTTTGCTATACTACGGACATTATACTGTGCAACCACACTCTATTCAGTGATTCTCTGTTATACATGTATATGTATATATCTACGCACATATGACAGCTAAGTTTACTCATATTTTAACAGTTTTTATTTTAAGGCTGCGTTTCTCCAAACTCATTTAAGCTGAAATTAACTTTAATTTAATTTTTTATTTAATTCTCATTTAAATTATTATCAGTTTCAATAAGCCCTTTTTTAAGTGAGTAAAAAGTGGCTGTAGAACTGACTTATCCAGCGAAAGCTTTCATTTGTACTAAGAGCTTTTGACAGCGTTGGCACGCTGTGTTGTAAAAGCAGGGCTGGTATACACACAAGCAGCAGATACACAAAATTGTGGTGTGTGTATATTGATCAGCTGTTTAAACGTGTAACATCTCTGAGTGCGGTTATTCTGATTTAATTTTTATTTAAGTGAAGAGTATAGGTCAAAATTGGGTCAAAATTAAAAACAAATTAAATTGATTGGTGAAACCAAAAATTCGAAAATTTAAGTAATTTTCACTTAAATGAATCTGGTGAAACGCAGCCTAAGTAAAACTATAAATTTAATATTTTTAAATTTATTTAATGACAAATAAAATAAAACATAAATAAATGTTTGCGTATAAAATATTTGTTGGTGGTATTTATTTTTATGAAAAAATTGGTAAGTATATGAGGTATCAAAAAACGCCATAATACATATTTGTCCTGATAAAAATCCATATATCAAAAATGTAATATATTTTAATCACCTAAGGTTTATTAGAAAAATATAACTGCATTCGCCAAATTAATAAATAACCATAACATGCCGAAAATGGAGTCATGGTTAAGCAAAAAATATCAAAAACTTTTTTTAATAATAAACGGGAAGCAGGCGGCTCCCTAAATTGTTTTTAAATTTTCCACTACAATTCTTCTCAGTGTACCCGACGACCCCCGGTCCGGTTGTTAAAATTCCCGATTTCCACTAGCCGCCCATAATCGCATAGCAGTTGGCCGCCGCAAAAATTTTTAAATTTTCCATTAACATTTTTCTCAGTGTACTCCACGACCGCCGGCCCGGTCGCTAAAATTCACAGTTCCCACCAGGCGCCCATAATGGCAGAGCAGCGGTTCCCGCAAAAAATTTTAATTTTTCCATAAAATTTTTTCTCAGTGTACTCGACGACCGCCGTCCGGTTGCTAAAATTCCCATTTTCCACCAGGCGCCCATAACCGTGGAGCAGGTGACGCCCGCAGAAATTTTTTTCCCTGCCGGAAGCTAAAATTCATTGTATACTTTTAGGCGCCGGATGCGGAACGTGGCCGCGACCATTTCCAGGTGCATTTGGCAGGAAGTATGCGCTTTTAGGTTAGAATTCACCTATTTTACTACAATTTGAACAATTCCGAATTTTCTTGAATTAAATCATAGAAACATGCTTTTGACAGGTTTGTAAATAATTAAATTTTTAAAATAGACACAACTAAAGACATTTTTCATAATGAAATACATATTTTATTTATTGTTTCCTTTTACCCTTATTACGGAAATGAAATAGAGACATATCTAATATAAAAACCTTTTTCATTCGGCTCCTGGACTTTTTTATGAGAACTTTTACAAGAAAATTAATATATGTGAGCATAAGATAATACATAAGTGATATAAATTTATGTTTTTTTTAATTCCGGTATACTTTTTATGTTAGCTGATTGACGGAAAGTAAAGAATATTTTTAAATTTTGATTGAACCCTATTTTACCAGTTTTCTTCGTTTCTGCGAGAGCTCTGCTCCCAAAATTCATAAGAAGTTCAGTATATTTTAATTTTTTTGTAAGATATATATACTTACTTACATACATACTTATGTATATAGAAACGTAACCTGTTTGTTAAGGTATGTATGTATGTATCTCGTACTATGCAATTCATATTGATTTATTAAATCCATTTCAATACAATCAAAACGAATATTTCATGTACCGTTTTTAACTTGAATGTGATCTTAATAATATCACGTATTCTACGTTTAAGTTTAGCGGCTGTGACCCCGCAGGTCAAGACGAAGGCGCTGGACTGATCCTTTTTAAGCGGCTTAAAGCCAAACTAATTTTCTGAATTGAAAAACTACCTAGGAACAAATCAAAACTGCTTAAAAATACATGCATACATACATATATAACTATTTGCAGTTTAGGCTTAAATTTTAAAGTGTTTTTGTCCCTTCTGGCCTTCAATTTGCTTGCATACTTATTGTATGTAAGACTGGAAGTACATTCATACATACATACGTATACACTTAAACAACTAATAACTTAATTTAATAATAATTTCCGTCTAAACTACTGCAGCTCCTAGTAAATGATGAAACCGTTGATGTCACCAATGTTGCCGCTGAGGAAACATGAACTTCCATCCTCTCTTGGGTAAACCTATAAACTTAGGTAATTTTGTGTTAGATAAACGCAAATTATAAATGTGATGATGTTACCATTATATAGTTTATCCTGAAAGTGGAGCTATTCATTGAGCTTATCCAGCAGTATAGCAATACAGGTCAAGGCAACGAGATGCTGAAATGAATTCAGACAATTTTAATTTTGCGTATATGAAAACAATATCATAAATTTTAAAATGAATATATTTGCTTAAATTCATTAAGGGCAGAGCTTCAACAATTTATTGTGTTTTATTTTGTACAAATGTTTTATTAACCGACTTCCCTAAAAGGAGGAGGTTATCAGTTTGTCGAAATATTTTTTTTTTATGTATGTTACCGCATAACTTTGGACCACGTCAACCGATTTCGATAATTCTTTTTGCATCGGAAAGGTAGTGTAGAGGTGGTCCCATACCATGGATTATGAAATATATATATATATATATATATATATATATATTTAAGTCGGTTTTTTTTTTATAAAAATTACTTGTTTTGTACAAATTTTTTCGTAGTTCAATTCATTTTCTGTTGCTAAAACCTGGCCGAAGCTGACGTAATGAATCCGTCGCTTTGGCAGCGTTTACATTCAGCTTGAAGATGTGCCCATTATTGAAATGTTCTTCTGCTTACATATATAGCTGCCGAATTCATATTTCTAGAAAATATTTTGACGATTGTTATCATTTAATCGATCAATGGCCGATTCATGAAACACGAAACTACAACTAGATTCACATATAAGTAGATTATCCTCATTTTCGAGCTTAACACCCTAATCTGTAATTATAACAAGAGATTAGCCATATAAAATTCGTCCCTTGTTAATCTGTAATTATAAAATAATCGCAGATTTAACCGATAACTTTTCGGTGTCCATCCTAGTTTTATCGATTGTTTTTGCGAAAGAGAGGAGAAATGCCAAATGTAAAAGTAAACAAAAATGTACGCTAGCAAGTAAAAGAGGTTTGTAAAGGTATTTTTAATAAAATGTTAAATTAAAATATGTTTATATTGCTTATTATAGCAGAAAAACGTGATCACGGTGGCACAGAGAAGAAACATAACTTTTCCTTGAGATGTGAGAATAATAAGCACAACAAATTTGATGGCTAATAATCTGAGATTTTCCTGTGTAAACGGGGTGATTAAAAAACGAGCTTTGATTGAGATAATATTGATATGTGAACATAGTTTGCGCTACAATTAAATCGTAAATTAGACAAAAATAATCGATTAATTTAATCAAATGATTAATCGCTGCCATACCTATCTTTGACCAAAACACTGAAGTTGACATTTGGCCATCGAAATCCCGTGCATTTTATATAAAAAAAAACCCACTCCGTTGTTGATAGCTGGCCCTAATACATTATTTAGATCATTTCAAAAATGTCTAGCTTTGAGCTTCTTAGCGAGCAGGGACTACGTCTAGATGGTAGGCGTGCACATGAGCTTCGTTGCATTAAATGCAAACTTGGCGTATTCGAACAACCTGATGGAAGTGCGTATTTGGAGCAGGGCAATACAAAAGTGCTTGCCGCCGTTTATGGTCCCCATCAGGCACAGAGCAATAAGCTTGATCTTAATGAAGTGGTCATTAATTGCCAATATAGTATGGCGACATTTTCAACAGCAGAACGGAAGAACAGACCACGTGGCGACCGAAAATCGCAAGAAATCACCCTGTATTTGAGGCAAGCTCTACGCGCTGCCATTAAGACTGAGCTATATCCACGTTCACAAATCGATGTGTACGTGGAAGTATTACAAGCTGATGGAGCCAATTATGCAGTTGCACTCAATGCCGCGACATTAGCACTAGTAGATGCCGGCATATGTCTCAAAGAATATGTTGTTGCATGTACCGCTTCATTGAGCAAAACTAATATACCGCTTACGGATGTATCGCACGTCGAGGAGGTTTCTGGCGGTCCAACATTGACAGTTGCATCACTGCCGACGTCAAACAAAATCGCATTCATGGAAATGTCTCAACGCTTTCACCTCGACAATCTACCAGCTGTGATGGAACAGGCGTTGAATGGCTGTCGAGAAATACAAGCTATTATGGAAAAGGAAGTACGCAAACATCTAATGCAAATGGGTTCAGCAGGAGACTGGAGCAATATAGCAAAATAAATAAACCATTATTTCTTATATTAAAAACTTAGTACTTATATTTAGTTAACTTTATCGCCGATATGGTTTCCAGTTTCTCTTACTAAGGTTTCAAAATTATTAATTAGCTCTGTTAATTTTGCACGCCTGAATTCGATGGCGATTCGCTGTATAAGTCTTTCCAAATCTTCCGTTCCTTCAAAAAACTCTTCTAAATTATGTACAGTGCCATTGGCAATACGATGATCAGTGATGCGATCTTGCACAAAGTTGTAAGTACGTATTTTTTCATTACGATTCAAATTGCCTTGTTGTGCTTTCCGTGTGCGCTTCTCATTCAGTTCTTTACTCTCCAATTCTCGCTGTACCAACTTAGCTTGCAGACGATGAATAGCACGCTCACGATTTTTCAGCTGCGATCGCTCTGTTTGACATTCCACAGCAAGACCAGTAGGCAGGTGGACAACACGCACTGCAGAATCAGTAGTATTTACATGCTGACCTCCAGCACCGCTTGCACGTTTCGTTTCAATTTTTAAATCTTTTTCAGAAATCCTAACATCAACGTCGTCAGGTCGTGGAATCACGGTCACTGAAGCTGTGCTGGTATGTAAGCGACCAGATTTTTCTGTTGCTGGTACACGTTGTACTCTGTGCACACCGGCTTCATATTGCAGTTGATTAAACGCGGCACGATTTTGAACGATGACATTACCATGACGTAAACCTCCAATATCTGTCCCTTCGTTATCAATAATTTCATAGGCCCAACCATTGTAATCAAAATAGTTGGTGTACATATCAAAAAGTTCTCGGGCGAAGAGCATTGCTTCTTGTCCTCCAGCTCCAGCGTTCACTTCAAAAATAATAGAATCGAATTGCTGATCCTCGGTTAAGACAAGCATTTGATTGAAGAGTTCCTCTTCCGTTTGTAGTAATAAATCTCCATAAACCTAAAAGTTACGACAATAATTATATAAGATTGCTTCATATATCGGTATTTATAAACTTACTTTATTTTCTTCCAGCAACAACATACGCATTTCTTCATCTTTTTCATTACAAATATCTTCTTTGCTGGCGATTTTTGTTTTTAGTAACCGATATTGCTCTAGTGCAGAAACTACTCCATCTAATCGGTTGAGACGCGACTGCGACTGTGCTGTAGGGTTCGCTCGTAAGTTATAGAACTCGACACGTAAACTTTCTAAATATTTCTGTGTTTTATTATCTGCAATGGTCGGAGAATCCTTGTTGGCTAATCGGCTGGTGAGTGATAATAGACGATTTTGTTGCCCGTGTGGAGCCCGGGGCAGAACCCATTTGATTTTATGGGCAGTGCAATGCGTTAGCACTTTTGTTAAAAGCATTATGTAATTGAGTTTGGGTGATATTAAATTTTAATTTAACAATAAATATTCACTTTACTCGAATTTCCTAAATAAATATGCATTTGTATGTATAAATACGCGTATTCGTGCAACTTCTATTTACAATGACAAAATCAGCTGATTATCATGACAGCCAGAAGTGTAAGCAAAATGGTTGCTGATGCGACCCCAGGAACTAAAAATACAAGATCACGTAAGAACGCAACGTTTTGTAACTGGTTTTGAGAAAAGTTACACTTTTATTCAAGTAAAGAAGAGTTAATTCAACATGACAACACATTTTAAAGCATTTTGTTGCATCATTTTACCTAAATTGTGCGTTTACAATAATTTTGGCTTGCGTTGCGGATTTCATAGTCGTTCAGGCTTTACAGGCTTTTCACGCGAGCAACTCCACAACAAGCTATATTTAAAAACAATTGAATTTTCTCTTTTTAAAATTTCAAATGATTATTTTATAAAATAGAAACTATTTAGTAAACTTCTAGAACTTAATTTGTTGACAAATACCCAGAATTATTGGGATGAGTTTCCCGACAAATGAGATATCAACTATACAATTAGAGTTCGATAAAAGTTATACTATTTTTACCATTTCATTTTGATTGATTCAGTACTTTTCTTATCTTTTACATAATAATGTTCAAACAATAAAGAAGTTTTAGCTGCATTTTATTGCCTAAACTTTGTTTAAAATTCCTTTAAAATATGGTAAGTGTTATCGATTACGACATTGTAATGTTCGAATAAATAACTGTCAGACGACGCCAGAAAAGAAAAAAGTTCGAAAGTACATCTTTCAGACTTTTCGGACTTCAGTTGTGGAGCAGCTTCTATACAATTGCACTAAATCATCTTCTAGGCTTAAGCGCCTCAAGCCACAACGCCTGAAAACCTGCTATGGAGCTTCAGCTAAAGCGACGCGAAAGCTGTATGCAGAGCCTTAATGCATATTACTATATTGTTATCTATTTTACACAGATAAAATATTAGAGGAAAAGAAGAACGCAGAAGCTGTCAAAGCTTTTATTGAAGCATACCTTTTATGCTTCATGCTTTTTAAAGTTCGAACTGTGAAGCAAAGCGAAGGAAATTACTCCGAATTTTACACATAAAATTTACATCAAAAAGATATGGCAATGCAGCGCTCTACTGTTTTACTTTTTGACGTTTAAAAAGTGACATTTAATGGCTGCCGTTCAGCACACGGAAAATTATTTTTAGCCAGTGGGAGGTTTTTTGTGTCAAGTGAAAATAATTTATACAATTGATTCTTTAAAATAAATGTGCTTCTAAAAGTTTCTGTTATGTCTAACGCAGCGGCAGGTGAGTGCAAATATTTGATTTACGCTACGCGACTCTAATTTCTCGGCACCGGAAGAAAGAAAACTGAATAGTACTTTGTTTATATACATAAATACTTCGAAACCAAGAGATTCGATTTATTAAAAAAAATGTATTTGTTATCAGCACAATGGGTGAAGTTCTTCAATGCCTCTGGCATACCATCCCCAGCGGCAGCAACTTACGCACACATATTTGTCGAGAATCGCATACAAAATGACATGCTTATGGATCTCAATAAAGAATATCTGCGGGAAATGGGCATAACCCCAATGGGCGATATAATTGCCATATTAAGGTAAGTCTTTTAAGAAATGCAAAGCTAATAATTCCAACGGACGTTGGTTACATGTATCGTTAGTGTACGAAAAAAAAGTAGTAAAACAATTATAACCAGCTTTTCTTTTAAATTTTTACAAGGCATGCTAAGAATGTTAGTGATCAAACTGCTCGGGAAAAGGTTCTGACAAATTCAGAAATGTGTGTACCAATCGCGGCTGTCCCTGCAAATCCTCATTCATCGCATGAGCGTCCCTCAACAACTACCAAAGTTAAACTAAAGTGTAAGGAATCAACATTATTATTTGAAAAAAAACAACTTTTTTCCATCCACATTAAGAATTTTAAACGTGAAAATGTAATGTAAATATTATATCTTTTTATAAATATAGCGGTACCCGTAACATCAAGCACTTCAATCAGCGCTAACAATCGAGTTCGCATCAAGACTTCCGAAGACATTGAAGCATTACTTCCCAAACAAGCGCGACGAGTTTTAACCGAACATGAGGGGAAATACCAAATAAAACTTCCTCCCTCTGGCAGTACAAAGCGCAGCAAGGATATACTTCGGAAAAACGAAAAATGTAAGTGTTATTTTCTGTAAAGTATTAATTTTTAAGAATCATTCGGATTTTCTAGTGTATTCGGATCGTGAAAGCACGCAACGTCCTCAAGTTTTTGAACGTCTAGCTAAAAACTCTGCTTCGACTATAGATTTGGCCAACGATGATACAGATGATGGTGAAATTAGCAGCAGTAGTACTAGTAGCAATTTACAGAGTGGTACTATTCGCAATGTACGAGTACGGATTACTGGCGTCGATGGAAGTAATAAGACAACCAGCAGTTCATCTATATTTTCCCGTTTGGGTGGGAAAACACAAGGAGATTCAGATGATGAGTTAGTAATTGCAAAACATATTAAACCAATACTTAAAAATGCACCGAAAACAATCGTAAGTAGAAGTAAACACAAATATAAATAATATGTATTCATTAATCGCAACATTATTTTTAGAATCGTTCTGCAATTGTTAAAGCTAAGGCTGTGGCCTCAAGTGTGTCCCCAGTGCGTTTGAATCCACAAAAGCAAAAGGTCATACTAGTAAAGAAGGTGCCATTAAAAACTAACGAAAGTGATGACGACGATAACGATTCTATGACTAGTGTTAATGAAGTGGATATGGATGATATTGTCACTAGTTCGAATGCTGTAAGCAGCAGCGAAAAGATAGTGAAATTCGCTTCCACAGCAGAGGTGCATGAAATAGTACCGGAGCCCCGATATAAAAAAATACCTAAGGAGCGAAATTATAAAGCAAGCGGTGGAGGAAATGCTGCAGGCGGCGTTAAGTCGAGGCTGGGTTTAAGTAAGTTAAAACTAAACAAATATGATTTAATATTTTAGACCGAACCACGCCTAAGTTAATACGTAAATTTTTATTTGTTTAATAGATACAGTCTTACATACCACAAAGAAAACATATAACTTAAAAGCTGCCAGTAGTGCAAATGCAAAATCTCGTCTCAGCCCAGTTAAAATTAAATCTATGCGTTTAAAGTCGGACGAGATTTTAATGCGCCAAGAATTACCAGTACATCGTCGATTAGGTGGACCCAGTAACATAAGTAGTACTACCATGCAAGGAAAAACGGTCTCAGCACTTTCGAAGCGAATCGGCAATGTGAACATCTCAAAGAACTCGCCTACCTTACAAAGAAAAACACAACAAAAGAGTTATGCATCAGTTTTTGATCGCTTGGGTTTTAATAGTTAAGTCTTTCTTAGGAACATACATATACATTAGATCGGTCTAAAAATACGCAGGAAACCCACTTTTTGTTATTTTATTGCTGCGGCCCCAGAAGTAAAGAGTATCGAAAACAAGGTGACTCGTATTTTTTTCTTGCATTCGGTTAATATTTAACCGTGCCGTCGATGTTTTGAAGTTCCCCTAAATATGTATTTTATATGGAGAAAATAATTTTTTAGTAGGATTGCTATAAAATCGTTCCGAATAGTTTCGGATAGTTTGAGGCTGGTGCACAAAACGAAGAGGTCGTGGCATCTCCCGCCTTTCCAACTTCAAAGGGCGAACACTAAAGAATTCAATAATCCATTCCTTTTCCTCGGATTCCTATGAGCCTCAAGGAAGTCTCATGAAAATGGGGGAAACATCAGTGCATAATACTGCGGTAAGGGAAAGGAGTTCTCTGCCCAGTGTGGGTTATCCTGAGCGTGTTAGTGTGCCGGAGACTACATATATTTTCCATATTTATTTAGCTTTAAAAGTTTGCTAACTATGTTTTCTAAACAACAAACACGTAAAACTACACATTTATTTAGATAAAATATAAGATTATCGGTTATGAAAAAGTAGTTTTTAAAGTTGAACAAATATTCATAATTTTATTTTTTGAAGATCTTTTATTTGATAAAAAAATATTTTTACTTATTGATGTTGCAGCAGTTTTATGAAAAATTGTTTTTTCCCCATGTAAAATATATGGAAAACTTCGAAGCCTCGTCGACACGGTTAAATAGGCTGCATTCCAAAACGTCAAAATACAAAGCATCGGTCTCTTCTACTTCCAAACCACAGCACATTGTAATGTCAAATGTGCGCAACCATGGTTTGATACTACTTTTCAACTAGGTTGTGCAAGTTAGACTTTTTCTTCTAGTGCGGTTTAGAAATAAAAGAGACTGATGCCTTGTATTTTGACGTTTTGGAATTCACTCATACTAACTGATTTCAAAATCGAAAATACGGGACTCCTTATTTTCGATATTCTCCAGTTCTGAGGGTGGCCCTAATATACATATATGTTTAGAATTTAGATATTGTGCGTTGGAGGGCCAGGTTATTGAGTTCCAACTATGTATTTTCATTTAATAAATTCGAATCAAGAATATTTAAGTAAGAATGGTGGAATTATATATATAATACATTAAACAAAATGCTTCAAATACTGCATACGTACAACATACATATTCTCATCGTAATTAATTACAACGTAATGTGGCTGAGATTTAAGGGATAAAAAAACTAGTTTCCTTAGGAATAAGCTAATTCCAGATTTTTAGCATACTGTCAAAAAAGTAGTCATCTTAATTCCTTTATACGTTTTGCATATACGACATGAGTTTATAGTTTAGCACCAATTGAACTGGTATAATTTTAGTGATGGTTTTATGGGAGCGAATCTCATTTCGATCTCGCTACAGCCGGCTCAATTCTGGTCAATTCCTTTATCCGTTTTGCATATACAACATGAGTATAGTTTAGCACCAATTGAACTAGTATAATTTTTGTGATGTTTTTTTTTTTTTGGCAGCGAATCTCATTTCGATCTCGCTACAACCGGTTCAATTCAGTTCAAGACCTAATGCACCCGCAAACATTAATGGCTGGCGGCTACATGCGGTTACAATAGGATTGTTGTCTCTAATCTTAGGAAGAGCATTCTACACATGTTTTACACAAACAATCACAATTCAAAAAGAAATATAAAAGTAGAGATCAATAATAAATGCGTTTAAAATACAAAATCGTTTTTATCTATGTGGACCATCAAACATTTATTTATGTTCAATTAGTAAAAATCTATATATAGGGTTTCTAATCTTGTATGTAGTTTTAGTTATCATATTTGTAAATGTAAAACGAGCTTTGGAAGCTTAAAGGTATACGGTGAATCACTGGTTTTTCAAACCACGAAATTATTTAAACAGCTGTGGATACTTGGCGTTTCCCAACTGCGCTGTGGCGTTGCGTCATCGCGTGCATTTGGCGTTGCAGCAAATGTGTATAGAACATTGGCGGTTGGTATTGTGACGTAGTGGTGGGTGTTGTAAAATTAAATTGCATTGTTGGCTGAGCGTTATACCAACCATAGTAAGAGTCAAAATTAGACGATGGCACTGGCTGCAAACAACTGTTTAACAAACCATAAACCGGCGACAGTGGTGGTGTTTGATTGAAGTACGCGGTCGTCGATGCAGACGGAAATGGAGCAGTCGATTTTACGATAGTGCTGGGTGCTGGCTGTGTGACATGCAAGACCGATGCTATTTGCGGCGTTAGCGGCATTGTTGCAATGGTGATGGGCGCAATCGAAACGTTGGCTGGGGATTGTGTGAGCTGTGCGTTTATTTTTCTTGATTTTGCATTACTATTTCCAGGGACTAGTGATGTGGGAGTACTTGTAGTCGATGACTTCTGGATTTTCGGCGGATGTGGTGCGATTTTCACCTCCTTGGCTTTGTGCTGACCATACACTGTCGCTGCTGTTGAAGTTGCTTCACGACCTTTGTTCTGGCTGTTGGTGGACGATTCTGCTGACTTTGCATTTTCAGCCAGCTTTGTGCGCTTGGGCGCATTTATAATAATTACATCCAATATTTCTACAGGGAATCTATAATTTCTCGCCTCCAACTCTTCTGCCTTGCGTTTTTTTGCTTCTTCTAATTTTATTGCACCGAATTTTTTATGCACATAAAAAGAACGATCAAATTTTTTATGGCTATATACATCATTTTCCTTTGACTGCGCCATGGCGATACTTTGAAAACTATGAAGAATAATTTCAAAAAATGCAACTGGTAATCCGTAGTGTTCGCCTGTCGTCTTGACTGTTTCCTGTTCAAGTGATTTATGTTTGCTCCAGCTAGAAGTGCGTTCGCTTTATATATCACCGAGCTCACATTTCAGCTTTACTTTTCCTTGCTAACCATGCACAGGTAGTTGCAACAGACCTTGCAGAGAAGCGCCTATTTAATGTGAGCACTTTACCTCTATTGTAAAACGCATTGACTTTTGCATACCTGTGTACCTGTGAAGCATTCACGTCCACCGTTTGATGCTTGCAACACCTCTGATTTCAGTTCCATGTAAATACGTATGTACCTGCATATGTATGGTCAAATGAATCTTTTTATTGTTAGTAAACACCATTCCGCTAACGTTCGAACATTTCCCCGATATTTCGGAATTTCTTCCAAGATATCAATTCTGGCTTAACAACCCTCAATTATCCAAAACAATAATGACCATTGTGTTGGATTCTGCCTGTTTGTGTGTCCTTAGAGAATTAGGCGCTAGTTTTTGTCCTACACCAGTGCGACTCATGCGTATAGTTGAGAGTGTAGAAAGTGCAATGCACGAGGTTTTACGTATAGACATACATATGTACATATCATCATGCCATAAATATTTCATTCATACAACAAATACACGCTCTAGTTCAGTGTGAAGCCACTTTTCGTCCATATCGAATATTTTACAGCTTGCTTTTTTTCTACGTAGACATTAATAGACAATGGGCGAACAATTAATTCATGCACAGCCTTCAAGAAGCAACTGAAATTAGAGCATATCGCGTATATGTAAGGACCTAAATATGTACGTATTTATACAAAAAAAAAAAAAAATATGGGGAATCCCTTAAATTTTTTTATTGAATTTTAATAGCGCAAGATTTATGCCGTGTATGCTAGGCATACAAGTATTCTTCTACTAGTACATGCTCCTCCGTTTAAATCCTTCAAGGCTAGCTTCCTAATGTCCATACCTAGCCGCTAGTGATTTGCCTTCTACCTATTCGTCATAATTATTTTTGCTCATAGTTTTCGTCGTTAACGTTTGTGCGAATTTTTATTACACATTTTACAGCTACATATCTTTGGAGCACCCAAAAGACTAGGAATTTTTGTTGCTTTAAACTTAACGGTTTCAACTTTATCGTTTACGAAGGATAATAGCTGTAAGGTAACGTTTGGGATACCTGGTTCGTACTTTTGTGGGAGTACATATTTTTTTCAAAATCGAGATGCTCGAGATGACTCAAAAAGTTTCACTATAAATATCCAATCAATTTCTTTTAGAAGAAAATACGCCTCAGTAGCTCAGCTTAAGCTTTACATTTTATTGTTATTTCCAGGGTAGTTGCAGGATAGTCAAGAGCTGAATCAACTTTGCTTATATTGCGAACTTGAACCTAACCAGTGTTAAAGCATAGACAGACGGCAATGTTGATCCGGATTAACGCCGATATTATTAAAATTGTGCCTTGAAAGATGGCAGTAATGCGGGCCGCGAGGTCGTAGGTTCGAATCCGACGACCAGTAGAATATTCATTTAACTTTTTTTTAATTCATTAAATTATAACTTCTCTTTTTTTTAAGTTGTTTTTATTTGGTTGTTTTTGACTTTTTAGTAAAATTAAACTAAAAATTTAATTTAACTAATAATAAAAAAGTGAAATAAAATAAAACAAACGAAAATAAAAAAAAAAGTAAAATTAGATATACATATAAATAAAAAAAAAAAAAATTTATTTAAAAAATAAATTTAGGTAACAATAAAAACAAATTATTTTTTGGCAGGCTTGTAGTACGCAGCACTCACCATTACCGCGGATGAAGTAGTTGGCTGCTTTATTTGCTCAGATTTGTGCGTAGAACACAAATAAAAAGCAAAATTACTTAGCGTGGACATTCACTTTGTCGTCGGTACTGCAGTCACCATATTAATAATTCAAATAAGTTCTTATTCAATTTTAATTGGATTCCTATATATATGTTATGGTATATGTTCATGCTAGTTTTGTACTTTCTCTGTATTCTACGCTCTCTGAGCTTTTGTCAGTGTTGTCATCGAATATTCCCTTGATCCGAGTTATGTTTGGGAATTAACTCTAGGAATTAATCCCGATCAACGCTGCCGTCTGTTTAAGCTTTAAGTTTCTTATGTAAGTGCGATCGGGATGTGTTCTCTGTAATCTCACAACAGGTAGACTTATACATATCGATGGTCCTGTACAATAACGACACAATTAAAAATTCAAAAAATAAAAACTGTTAATAAAACTGTGCTTAATTTAGTAAGGGATGGAAATGAATTAGACAAGGATTAGACACAAGAGCCCCATAACAGTAGTAACAGTTTTTATTTTTTGAATTGTGAATTGTGTCGGTATCGCACAGGACCATCGATATGTAAAACCAGCCTTTCGATAACCAGCGAAGATCGAAAATCGAATAAGGGCCTTAGGCCCAATAAAATAGTGAGAACAATTTCTTTTTAGCACAATCCAAGGTGATGTAAGTTTTGGTACTTTCAAGAACGCAATTTTCAAGCATTCGTACATATTTGCATTTGCGAACTTTTAACAAATGTGCACCGCTCAGAACCAGGTCTTAAAGCAGATTTTATGTAGTTTCAGTAAATGTACTCTTCAAAAACTTGTTCATATACTTTCCCCTTTACTTCACTTTTTCTTTAAATATCATATTAAACGTAACTAGCCCATTGTTGCAGTGATGTTCCTATTCCCCCGATTACACGGTGCTACAACAAAAAAAAAACAAGAAATACACCCGAAACAAAATTCAGGGAAGGTTGTAACTAAGTAGGGTCGAGTACAACTCGAAAATAGTTCTTATAGTTCCTGAACTCTCCATTTATATTTTATTAAGTAAAAACCGTTATTGGGGGCCGCTGTGGTGTAGGGTCTGGGTTCAAGCTCTGGTCAAAGCAACATCGCAAAAAAAAAGGTTACGGCTTCTCACAAAAATACAATCGCCGTTCGGAGTCGGCGTAGAACTGTAGGTCCCTCCCCTGTGTGTGTGACAACATCAAGGCGCACGCCACAAATCGGAGGAGAAGCTCTGTCAAACACTTCTTTTTTAAGTCGGACGGATTTCGTAAAAAAAATTATGTCGTGTCTCCGATTCGCTTTAAATTTTTTTTGTGGGTTCTATACATGAAATAAGCTAACACGTGTTCGAGGAATTTTTTTGAAGTGAAACTTCTGTCACGATTTCGGAGATGGTTGTGTTAAATATTTAACACCAAGTGATAAAATCTGCATCGTTCGTTCGATTTTCAAAAATTAGGTGTCAAATGAAAGGGCCTGACCTGTAGATGTGTAATATGATTTTAGTTTTTTTAAGGGTTGGCATATATATGAAAGTCAAATTCAAATTATTTATTCAAATAAATAAAATATCCCAACGTTCGTATCAAAAGAAATGGTTTTAAATAAAGATAAAGATGAGGATGAAAATGAAGATGATGAAGATAAAGATAAGTAGACTGTTATGATCGACCTGTCATTCTCGCATTAGATTTCAACGTCAAGTTTTCGCTGGCCTAATCTGATGAACTGACAAAATTTTTTTAAAGATAAACTTTCACTGGGAATGGTTATCGGTAGAAATGATCCAACAAACAAAGCAGCGGCTACCATTGATGCGGTTTTTGTAGAAACATTAATTATATTGAAATAAAACATTTCATATCTTACTTTAGTTACCACAATCTACTAGTTAATATTATAGATATGGATGTTTTCTCAAGCACAAATAATAACTAAACTTTGCAGTTGGTTATAAAAGATTAAAGGTCGTTAAATTTTTTTTTAAATAAATGAGGCGTATTCTTGTTTTCATACGAATCAAAAATTTGAAATTTTTGTATAGAAAATCATAGGAA